GTGGGACTTGTGGTGACACGCCACACCATGATGCATCTGTGTGCAGCTTTGTCTCCAAGCAGGAAGCCATGGCTGCTACAAAAAAAAGACTCCTGGGCTACGGCTCATGGAGGAAGCTGGTTTCCAGTGCCGCAGAGAGAGCAGCTGGAAAGAGAAGAGAGCTTTGGAGAAGCAGCCCGGAGAGCCTCTGTCCAGGAGGCCAGGAGCTGGTTCTGGGCTCCGCCTTCCTGGCCTGGGGCGGCCTCCAGGCTTCTGGGACTTCAGCGCAGCCCAGGCAATTCCCCTGGGTTGCCAGGTGGAGCAGCGGGGCTCAGAGTGCCCATCCAATAAGGATGGCTCTTGGCTCAGCTTCCAGCAGATGCTGTGGCAGCCCTCAGGGGTTGAGTGTGACACTCTTTCTTTCTTTTTCTTTATATATATATATATATATTTGGTTGTAGTTGGACACAATACCTTTATTTGATTGATTTATTTTTATGTGGTGCCGAAGATGGAACCCAGGGCCTCGCACGTACCAGGCGAGCGCTCTGCCACTGAGCCACCGCCCCAGCCCCCTTCACTCTTAATAAGAGAAATAAAATACAAAATATCCTGAGTTATCGTTTGGATTCCCGACTTATCAGTTTGGCCAAAGTTCCGAGGCTGGACAACACCCCAGGAGGGAGCGGAGAAGCAGGCGCTCCCACACCCAGGGCAGGGGGAAGGCTGCCGCCTTCGAATGCGACTTGGCAACTCCTAGGAGTTTCAGGCTCCGTTTGCTCTTTGGCCTAGCTGCTGTGCTTCTGGAAGAGGCCCTCAGCAACTACTGCACACGCCAGAGGACACACTGACTTTGTCACTGCAGCACGGTTTGTGGTGACAAGTTGAGAAGCAAAGCAGGTGTCCCTGTGCAGGAGACTGGTAGAATAAATGCTGGTATGCCTATACAGTGGAATACTAGGCAGCCATTAAAATGACGAAGATGTAGTATAATGTGGGAAGATGTCAAAGACTTGAGTGGAGGATGCGCAGGGAAAAGGGAGTCAGCGTGAAGGGCAATGAGACCTTCGCTCTCGCTCACATGAACGCTGGCCTGAAGTTGAAGAAGCAGTGAGTATAAGGAGGACGTAATGGGGAGACTCTATCATCCCCAGAGCAAAGGGGGCAGTGAGACACCCTGTCCCTGACTGTCCCCTTCTGTTCCCAAAATGTCACAAGGGAGCCACAATATGTCCTGTCCTGTAGGACACTGGTTTCCCCTTGAGCACCCGGGAAGCAAGGCAGCCAGAGTCCCCTTGGAAAGCAGCTTTCTTGCTCACACAGCAGGGCTGCTGGTCACACAAGCCACTGAGCTCGTGCCGACGATGTCACTGCTTCCACACCTGACGTACAGAACCCCCTGAGTGGGGACGGGCACAGAACCGAGGGCACGGTGGGAAGGGGATGCGCCACTCTTCCAGACAGCCTCCCCTGGACAAAGCACAGTGAGGGACGAAGGTGCTGCCACCTGTCACTCCTCTACAATTCTCATCTCCTGTACGCTGCCCCCGGTAACCCCTACATCTCCTGTGCTGTCTCCAGACACTTTCTTTGGCTTGTCTGCAACCTACCCCACTGCCCTGGCACAACTGGGCATGGATAAGACCACAGGGAAGGGAGGGGTGAGTGGCAGCCAGATTTTTCCATCTGAACCTTTTTATATTTGACTTTTTAATCATATGACTCTATTATTCCTTCCAAAAAATGCAACTGAGAAAGACACACACACACACACACACACAGAGAGAGAGAGAGAGAGAGAGAGATCAAATGTGGATATCCAAGCCAATGAGTATTTTGACTTGAAGATTAGAGTCAAGAGCCTGGTGCCCAGTGGCCCTGCAGAGCTTTAGCAGAGAGGCTTTCTCTGGGCGGGGTTGGTGCACCCTAAGCCAAGAGCCGACAGACCACGAGGAACAGAATTACTAGGACTCATGAGAATCCTGCGTCAGAGAAACGTAGACCTCGACTCTCAGGCTCGTGTCTCCTTCAGATCAGATTATTCAAGTCTAGAAATGTTCAGTCACTTGCCCAGGGCCACCCATTTAGAGGCAGAGTGGCCGTAGGACCCAGCCTGCCTGGTCCCGCGTCACCCCGTGTTCAGCCCCAGCTCCTCTGGCAACGTCAAGATGGACCTAGGACCGTCCTCCGTGGCTATGGGTCTTGCTCAGAGGCCAAGAAACTGAAATAGTTTTAACCTGGAAGAGAATGAAAGGGAGAAACTTCATAAAAGTGAATCTTCTATGGCGTCTAATAAATTGGAAAGGGACCATCTGTTCTCAATCGCATGGAGCAGGAACGAGAATTCATGCTACAACATGAAGCCTGAGCGCAAAGGAGGAAATGCCTAATTTGTCTGGTCACAGACAAAGAGAGTGTTAAAGAAGACGGTGACGTGGCCTTTCCTGGGCTCTTTAAGGAGGAGTCTGGCTTCTCTTCAGTGGTGTCTGGGTCCACGTGTGTCCTTGGTCAGAGGAGACGCTCACCACGGCACCAGGACCTCCTTGTCACCCACGCGACCAGGGCTGTCTTCAGCTCTGCTCTTCCTGGAGAGTGGCAGCAGCATGTTCTCCACGTGGCGGGAGCAGAGACGTGGGCCCCATGTGGCTGGAATGGCTGCTGGGAACTTGCAAGGCTCAATTCTCCCTGGTCCTGGGCTCTTTGGCTGTGAACCTGGGACAAGTGGC